CTTGGTATAACCCATCTCCGCATGCTTAGATTCATAATTTGAGTTGATTAAAAAACTAATCCTCGCGTACATGAGTTTTAATTACATTTAAAACCTTCACTTTTTTACCAAAAATCCAGCTGATGAGTCACACTCTTTAGTTGAAATCGAAAACATCTTCAACTACTGAGATATAATTACTCGCAAGAGGAATACATACGTTACATTAATTATCCAACACTTTTTATTATTATCGATCCAAATGTATTAAAAATCATAAATTTTTATGCGTCTTCGTGTAAAAAAAATCCATATATCTCATTCAATATGTAACAACCTGTCAGGTCTCACATTGTCTATAGCATCAAAAAAAAAGTATAAAAAAAAACATCTCACCACTAAACCATTATATATATAATGAGAATACACAACTAAAAAGTCTCAATATATATATATATACAACTGAAAGTAGGGAAATAATACCCTATACAATAACTAGGTAGTCAAAAGCTACCAATCAACTAGCTACAACGTTAGCTCTCCTCCTGAGTCTCGAAGCTCACCCAGTCCAGCAGAACACCTATCCCAATCTGCTCGCATACCAAGGTATGGTCATCGCAGTCCCAACCATATAGGGAAAACACGCTAGGGTAAGCTCATAATAATAAACATAAAAAAATAGCATCAACATATAATAAACAATAATAACACCTACCCTTCAAGGATGTCCCTTCGACATCCTCATCGTCATTCTCCTAGTCGAGAGTTTGATCAGCATGTTGTGGAACACGCTGAGAAATAGCAGCTGTAAACAACATGGAAAAAGAAAGAAAATTGAGTGGAGTATAATCAAGAATTCGAGAGATTCCCTATTTTTAGTCATTTACCAGGGGGAGGATTAGTGTTATCGACCCAACATAGAGGCCACCATCTCCTTCGGGGAAAATCATACAGGAAACATCGCGCGTAAATAACTCGATCCTTTATGGGGATTGCTTTATGATCAAGGTAAAATGGGTCGAGTGTTTTTACGCAAGGAGGATAGGATAAATATTTGGCTAAACCAAAGAGGGAATTTGGAAGAGGAGGTATCTTCTTAGGGCCCTAGAGGAGAACAACATATCATCCACTCTAAGGAACAACTTTTCAAGGAGGGTTTTTAAACAAATTGGGCTCTCAGAGCACCACAACTATCTCAATCCGCACAATGGGATGTATGTGGCAGTCCCTTGGATGACGTGGCAGGCACTGTTGGGTGATGACGTGGCAGTCCGTTTGCCATGTCATCATTTAACAGAGGAAACTAACGTCAGGTACTAAATTGAAAAAGAAAAAAAATTTGTCAGGTAATTTTAACAAAAAAAATTTAAAAAGTAATTTAAAAATCGAGCTAATTCGAGGTAGTTTAAACATATTTAGGCCTATATGTGTATATATAATTACGAATTTCCACTTAGACTCGGAGGTCCAGTACTACTTTCAGGACAGAAGGGTTTGGGTATGAGCCTATCCCGGCCTTGGCTAGCATCACCAATCCATATATGGAGTTAGCCCACCCACTATCCTCCAAGTACCACGCACCCTCCAGTACCTAGTCAAAGACTAGACAATGAAGAAGTGGAGAAAAGTGAAGATTAATAAGATGAAGAAGACATAAAACACTTGTAACTAGCACTACTACAAAAATACAAATCTACATCACCACATCTACATCGGTTAACAAAAAAACGATGTAAAAATAAGGCACGGTGGCATTATCGTAATTAGTTGTATGATATCAAGCATATTTACATCGGTTTTAAGTGAGACCGATGTAAATATACAACAATCTACATCGGGTTTAATAAGAACCGATGTAGTATTAGAAAGACGGTGGCATTTTTGTAAATAAGCCAAAAACACAAAGATATCTACATCGGTTAAGTTAGTGACCGATGTAATATTGAGAACCCTTAATTTGCTTCCCGCGCGTAGTCCCTGAATCCCTTGCTCCTGAATATTGAGAACCCTTTGCTTTCCCCGCGGGCGCATGAGCCCTTGCCCCACCGTTGCCCCACCCTTGCCCCGCCATTGCCCCGCTGTTGCCCCACCCTTGGCCTGCGCTTTCCCCTAAATCCGTTGCTCCTGAATAACCCTCTGTAAGCATCAACTGAAACCTTTTTCTTTGATTTGCTTACCTTGCGCACCCATGAGCCCTTGCCCCTGAATCCCTTGCCCCTGAATAAACTTCTCTAAGCATCATCTATAACTTTATTATTTTATTTTCAGGTATAAGGTTTGTTTTGTGCAACCCCTTTCCCTCGAAGAAGCCTCTCTGGAAGCATTGGAAGCCTCATTGTGTTGCTTTCGAATAGCAGGTTTGTCTCACCTGGTCGTAAGTTTCTGATGAATGTTTAGGGTTTCATCGAGTTTAGTGTGTTTTGTGAAATCTGTGTTGTAGGGTTCTTTCTGAGGAATAGTTAAGTTTTCCAATTTTGATGTGGTTCTGTGTTCACATGCACTTTGTTTTCACTTTGGATATCTTTTTGTAATGGGTGGTGCTATGTTGGGAGGTGCTAAAAAGTCAGGTGTTTGACTTCTATTTGGCATAAAGCACATGGTGTTTTCATGGGAGGGTACTGAGTCAACAATCAGCTGTATTTAGTGACTCTAGATTCAGTTTTAGTCGTAAACAAGAAATTGAATGAAGTCAAAGAATTGATTCGTTCCAATTATTGCTGAACATTTTCAATGATTTGATTCTTCAGCTGAATCATTCGGTGAATATATATATTAACTATTCAGTGGCAAATGAGGATTGTCAAAATTCAAAGAGAGAAGGGTTTGGGTATGAGCCTACCACGGCCTTGGCTAGCATCACCAATCCACATATGGAGTTAGCCCACCCACTGTCCTCCAAGTACCACGCACCCTCCAGTACCTAGTCAAAGACTACATCTCTAACTAGATACCTTACTCAAATTGGTCATTCAATCATGACATGGATCGACTACTTCCATGTCGCCCACACAGTACTAAGAGATTCAACTTTAAAACAACTTTCAACTTATCACATTAGATTTTCCCCAACGACAAATTTATGGAGCAGAGTGAGCACGCACCGTCAGGGTAATCAATTTCCCTCAAACGGTCATTAGCATTAAATGAGACAGGGATAGATTTTAATCGAAGAAATATAACGACACACTATCCAAACGTAAATAACAACCCTTGATAGGAACTCAATCTTTCTGGCTGATGTACACATCAAGATTGAATTTCTAGGGGGAATTTGTTGAGACTACTCGAAAATCAGGGAAATCGAAAGACGTACTTATGAAACTAATCGAAAGATGGAGGAGGATGAACACCTATCTAGAACGTTTTAGGAGTTTTATGTATTCGTGCTAGAAATATAGTCGAAAAGTTTGAAGCATACATAAAACTTCTCGAAAAATATTGAGATCAACTCCTGCCAATAACAGCTGATTCGAGATCGAAGACAATTATTTCGAGTTGAACAATGTTCGAGATTTGGTGAAGTTGTGTAGGTGCTTATGATCATACAAAGACAGTTAGCGTCCAAGTCGAGAAGTTAGTATACGCGAAGAACGGTTATGGGAAGTTACACTTTAGAAGCCACATAATGAGCATAGTGGGTAGCGGTTATCTCATAGTGGCCTACGTGCACGAGCGTCTGAGTGAGTTAACCGTCATTGATTCCCTCTATAAATTCAAGAAGCCTGCATTGTCACAAAGGTCGGAAAAACTCATACTGTCAGAACTAAATTCTCAAGCACTCTCTGCCCGCGCGTATGGCTTTCGTGCACATAATCGTTTTTGGGTATGACTAATTCTTGGCCATTTTTACCTTGCTTTTTAGGAGTAGAATTAGTGTAGCTCTTTTAATTTATCTCTTGTAATCCATGAAGTTATATCATTTTGGCATTGTAATTCTGGAACAGTATGCAAGTTGAGCCATGATTTGTATTGCAAATATTTTAATTATCCATTCTGTTCATCTTAGCATTTATATGTCTGGAAATTATTGCTTGTTAATTGTTGAAGAATCATTAGAAACAAGTAATTACTAAAATTGTTCACTCCATTTCCTGTTCTTAAATCAAAAGCCTAAATTGAAACCATTTACATGCTAGTTCGAATATAAAGAGTCCACGAACGAATTTCAGCGTAAACACCAACAAGATTAAAACAAAGATGAACATTAGAGAACAACATAATCAATTTCTGCCACTATTGATCTTTATTGTTGTATTGAATTTTAATAAATTTATTTAGTTATATTTATAATATTAATATTCAATAAATTTAATTATTTGATGTTAGTTTCTGAGTTTTGGTATTTGATAAGTGAAAATCGAAAAAAAATATATTTATAGGCTAGAATGGCCCGTTTTGGTCCTACTTTTATATACTAATTTTGAATCCGGAACAACTCGATCTAATCCATTCTTCATGTGTTACTTTTTAAACTGGAACGACCCGTTCTAAAATTAGAACGACCCGTTCTGAACGTGAACAGTAAATTATGCTAGTTGAAGAAATAAATTTGTACAATTATTATTTGGGTAAATTTTTTTAAAATAATATTATTTGAGTAAAAAAGTCTCAAATTTAATCATCAACAAACTGATAAATATTTTATACTAATATCATAATTAAAAAATAATTAAATCAAGCATACATCTTAATGTAACCAGATGAAACCCAAAGACCCTTGGCAAATGTGCAGTACAGTTGGAGAACACAGCCCGAGCCAACCAGTCCAGAACACTCTGCAGGTCTAAGCATTGGGTCGAGGGACAACTTGGAATTGATGTTTGATCTCTCCTGGCACAAGTTTAGGTTAGGCATGTGAAGTGAAACAATCTAATTTTTGATTATTCATTTGTCATATAAACAAGACAAGAATCCTAGAATATAGACTTGAAGTCTAATCCAATTTAAGATAAACCAAAATTAGTCAAATTCTTTTTACCAAACATTTCCTGAGAAGCAAATGAAGAGAGGAAGATTGCTGGTAAGTTTTAATTTGCATGTTTATTGACATATGAATTTTGAAATGTAAACTCATACATATGGCATGCAATGTGCTTAACGAGGGAAGGAAACAGAAACTGCTGTTGGCCCTCTTAGTTTATATATAAACAACCAATCCACAAATAAACTAGTGTTAAGTATAATTATGTACACATTACCTCAACTAAACCCTGATAATTAGATACAGACTGTAACACCCAAGAACAAAACAACAAAAAATAAAATTTCAAAGAAAGCAACAGAATAGTAAGCTTGAGAATGAGATCGCCACCTCATTTCATCGTATCAACAAATGTAACCCTTTTCATTTCTCCAACTGAATCTCAACCAACAAATCTGTAAACAGTAGAAAAATTAAACAAGAAAGAGAACCTAAAACGTGGTCGTGTTGACCAGGTTGTGACTCCTGGCAGGACCGACTCGGTACCGATTCCGAGTCAATCCGGCCGATTCGAAAAACTCGTCACCCTCATCACCGTCTCCATCTACCACAGTCCTCAACACGTACAACACCTTCCTCGCCTTCTCCCTGGCCCTCTCCGTGCCCGTTTCTTCCACCTCCTTCAAAACCTCCACCACCCTCGCGTCCTTCGCCAACCCCTTGAACCTCAAGCTCCGGTGACTCAGCGCGTACAGCGCCGCCACGCAATTCTCCCGAGTGGCCACCGAGTCCAACTCGTTCCCCCTCAGAAGCCCCACCAAACACTCCACCGCGTTGGCGTCCAGCATCGCCGTGCGCCCCTCCGTGCACACGGCCAGGTTGCAGAGAATGAGCAGCACCGGCCCCGCCAAGTCCCCCGCGGCCACCATCGAGAGCAGCGTCGGAATGACGCCGAGTTTCACCAACTTAACCCGGTTGCTCTGAACCAGACTCAAATGGTACAGCGCAAGCGCCGAGTCGTGGCGAGTCCGCTCGGACTCGGCACGCAGCGCGTGCATCAAGGGCTGCAACGCGCCGAGAACGCCAATCGCCATTTTGTTGTCATCATTCAACGCTAAACTAAAAAGCGCGCCCGCAGCGTGTTCCTGCGACTCACCCAATCCCTCCTTCAAAACATCCACGAGTAAGGGAACAAACCCCGACCTCACGATTCTCACCTTGTTCTGCTTCTCCAGCGAAAGGTTGACCAGCGACGCCACCGCGTTGACCTGAACGACGCCGTATCGCGACGCAATTAAACCACGAAGCGCCAACAGCACGCGCGGCGTGCAGAGCGAAACCCTAACCTCCTCGTTGCTCCGCGTGACCTTCCTCAGCGCGATGACTCCCTCTTCTTGCTCAAACACCGCGCTGCTCTTTAGATTCTTCAATATTGATTCCTCTTCTTCCGATGCCGGCGCGCTAGGGTTTTCGATTTCGATCTCGCCCGAGGAGGAAGAGGAGAAACACGTGGGACGAATCGTTAACGGCAACGGCGTTCCCGGACTCGGAGGGATTATGACGGATTCCTCGGAGGACGAGGCCGAGTTGAAGTGGTTGACTCGGGGGCCTAACTCGGTGGCGGCGTGGGAGAATACGCGCGGGGGAGTGTCCGCGACGGCGTTGAGGAGTTCCTCATCGGAAACCCTAGTTGTTTGGTCTTTTTCCATGGCTTCTCTAATTCGGCGTTCGACGGAGGCGTGATCCGGTGCGGGCGGGTGCTCGGTGCGGGAGGTGCGGCACCAGTTGAGGATTGTGGTTTTGAGGGCGAGGTTCGGGATGAGGGTTGAGAAATCGGGTCGGGTCCCGTCGTGGAGGTTCGGGGAGAATTTAAGGTCGTGGCAGAGCTGGACGGCGAGGCGCTCGAAGGTTTGGCCCGAAGCTACGACGACAGGGTCGGACATTAAGCAGCCGGTGATGGGGCACGTGAACTCCTTGGGAGGGAGCTTGGGGTCGAGGTTGGAGGAACGGTGAAAGATTTTCCACCTGCGTTTCCCGTTGCCACCCATGTCGTTTTGGCACTTGGCAAAGGTGAATTCTTCTTCCCCACTCCCCAGTGTTTATAGTAGTGGTTGATTTGTTTAATTGGGAATGGGAGTATTATAATGAAGTTATTTGTTGCACATGCCAAACGGACTGGGTCTTCCAAACACGGTCAAATACCATGAGATAAGAATTCCGGCTTTTGTTTTTTCTTCTTTTACGCCTCTTCTTGTTATCGGGAAGGGTATTTACGGAATTTCATCACTTTTCATTTAGATCAACAACATTAGGAGTGCTAGTTTTAACGATACTTGATGGTTCATTCTTTCCAATAGCATAATCAATGTTGAACTAATTCAAAATAAAGAAAAAGTCTCTCCTTCCACACCTATAATTGTCACTCCTTAGTTCAAGATCATCACATTTAATATAAGAGATATTCACAAATTGAGAAACTGAAAAGTTCGAAATTACATGTTCATCATTTGCAAATTGAGACTAGAGTAAACATATGATTTATTCATTAGTTGATGAGCTAATGTGAGAGACTTTAAGTATTGTGATTACATGGGAGATAATACTCCCTTTTAGAGGGCTTAACACCATGATTTGCTTTTTCTTGCGATGCTAGATAATGGGTTAAATGGATTGAGTGAGAGAATGTTGGTTACTTCCTTCTTAATAGGAGTAGGCATGCCCTTTGGTTGAGGAGAATATTTTCAATTTGAAAATATTCCTATTTTCACAAAGTTATTTCTAATATGTTTCATTATCAATGTAGGTTCAACCCATTATCCTTGTAACAACTATATGAATATACCTATCATCTTGTATGCAGAGGTTTTTTGTTGAGTTCTGTGATGACCAAAACTTTATATAAGGAATGTGTTGCTCTTCTTTTGAGTCACTACACCTATTTTTATCTATAGCATATAACACCATTGTGTATTGAGAGTGAGAGTTTAGAATTATTTTGAAGAAATTTTGACACGAGTTAGAATTGAGATCATAGTAGATAGCAATAGTTAGGAGTTAATCCTTTGTGATTCTTCTTTTCTGTTGCTGCTTGATCTAAATATGTTGTTTTTAATGTGTTTAGCATGGTTAGACAATACAAATGTCTAATAATGTATACAAAAAGTTAATGTTATTAATCTCAATTGGACAAAAAAAAATCACATTACATTATTTTGAAACATTAAGAGATCAAGTTAGAAATTTAAATAATTGAAGACTAAATTAAATAAATTGAGAGACTTAAGAAACTAATTAAAAAATATTAAACTAGTTATAAAAGAAAAATCACTTGCTAAACGATGAAGAAATGACAAATAAGACTATTTAATTTTTGGTGAAAGCATAGTTCTATACACAATTAATATCTTGGTGTGTCACGCACTCGATCATTATTTTATATGATTGCTCATGATTCATCATTGAATTTATTTCGTATTTATAATTTTGGTTTAAATATCTTTTTAATTTCTCAAATTTAGAATAAATTTATTTTGTCCCTCAAATTTAAAATTACTATTTTTAATTTTTATAATTTCAAAAATCTTATTTTAGTCTTTATATTTAAATTTTGTTAGAAAATTTGTCAAATATTATCGTATAAAATTCATCTATCGATGTTCCTATTAGTGAAAACATCACACTAAACCTAATTGATGTTACATAATTATTTTAATTTGTCATTTTCATATATGTTATTAGTAACTTAAGGGGACTAAAATAATATTTTTAAAAATTATAAGGATTAAAAATAATAGTTTCAAATTTAAGAGAAATTTTTTTTTCTAAATTAGTAAGAAAAAACATATTTAAACTTTATAAATTTTATTCTCTGTCTTTTTATCATGACTTTAATAACTAAATTTCAATCACTCTTTCGTTTTTTTTAAGATGTCAAACAATTATAATGTATAATACGTTTGACTTTTAATTTTTTTTATTTATAAAAATAAATGAATTTATTATGCACAATCAATTTTATAAAATAATATTAGAAAAATCTCTATATTAATGTTATATGAGCTATTTTTTTTATCATGTTATTTCATTTATTATATTTATAATTTTTCTTTTTTTAAAACCACAAATTATCTCCATTAAAATTTAACATTTTATTTTATTTATTTATGATTTTTTTAGAAGGTCCGTTCACGGTTTTTAAATATCAATGTATAATAGTTAATAAAATAAATTAAATGGTTTTAATGATTAAGACCTCATATCATGAACTTGCCATCGAAAAATATCAAAATGTTTTCTTGATGCTTGACTGTTTTATATTTTAGGTCTTCAAATTAAACTCAACCATTTTCTCCATTATTACTTAACCGTTGATAAATATTCATGTCATTTTATAATTTTATCATAATAAGAAGAAGAAAAAAAAAGTTTTTGCTCATGCGCGTGATAATATATGTCTCACATGAATTGTTAACAAAATCATTGGACTGAGACTGGCTGTTTCTAGAATCTTGATTACCACAGTTTCTGGAGATCAAGTGAAGTCAGTCAATATAGAATAAAGGAACATTCAAAGGGAGATTTTTTCTTTCTTTCTTCCAAAGATATTAATTTATAATCAATATCTTCTCATGTTCGCAAAAAAAGTAATTATGTTTATGTGACGAGAGAAAATAAAAATTAATGGGTCTTACATTAGTAAATATGAGTATCATTTTAATAATTTTGTTTTTAGTTTCGAGGTTTAGTCTTTTATTTTCCTTTCGTGATTTTTAGTTTTCATGTTAAATTTTACACACAAAAAATATTAATAATTTTATTTTTTTATAACATTTTTAACATTAACAAAACGGATTGTTTCATGCCTCCTATTTTTATGGCAAAATATTATAGCTCATATTTTTCTTTTGATAGTGAGATAATACTTATTTTAGTATAAATTGAATATCAATACTTTTTAAACAAACTTTTAAAATTTATTTTTAAATATAAATATATTTAAAGTCTTTATAAATATAATTTTGTCGATTTTAATTTCTATCAATGTTTTTATCATGTTTACTTTTTTTTTATATATATTTTAAATTGTACTTTTCTTTAGTGGTTTTAGATATGGCCTCATGTGCTATATGATTTTTCATTGAGTTGCAACTTATCTAATCAGGAAGAAACTTATAATGTATTTAGATGAAAATTTTAAATAGAACAATTCATTTTTTTTTAAAGAATTTTAAATGTTTTTAGGTAAAATATTTTGTTTTGATAGAGAATTTTATAAAGAACTTGATATTTAAATATTTGTGAAATTTTTTAAAATAATAAAATTTCAAATTCTTTTAAAAAATTAAAATTTAAAATTTTTCATAATTTTTTTTATCTCTTATCTTTTATGTTCCTTTTTGTCTCTTTCTCTTTCATTTCTCATACTCTCTTATCTCTTTATCTATCCCTTTTTCTATTTTGTCTTCTCTCCTCTTTCTTTTTTCCTCATACCTATGTTATCTTTCTTTCAAAGTCGACATAAAAAATATTAATAATTTTTAGTTATTAAGTAGTCAAATATGTTTTTTAAATTATTAAATATTATCTAATATTCATTTTTAAAGCTGTTAAATATTAAAAATTTTACTAATATTTTTTTCTATAAAATTTAATCTTAAAATCTCAAAATATATATAAAATTAATTTTATCTATGGTATAAATCAAATTACCAAATCCTAATTAAGAATTTAAAATTTTAAAATTTTGAATTGACTTATTAAAATAAAACATTTAAAAAATGATTAAAAAAATTAAAATTAAAGTAATTCAAAATTCTTAAATTTTTAAATTTTCTCTTCCAAACACACCTTTAGAGGATTGGTCTCAGGTTATTCTTAAATCCTTATAAAGGAAAGAAGATAATAGATCACTTCGTAATATAACAAATTTCTGTCCCAAAAAAATTGAAGGCAATGAGTGAACATGAGCATATAATCCCTAGGTTTGGTGGAGGAGAAAATAATAACTCAATAGTGTTTTGGATTAAAGTTTTAAAAGAATTATTATTATTATTATTATTATTATTATTATTATTATTATTATTATTTCGCATAAAATAATTTTTTTTTGGTAATAAACGTGGCTAGAAGCCCAATGCCATTAAACTAAAAATCACGGGGAAATTGTACAACCGACATATCGGCAAGTAAAGGGAATTTAGCCCAACTAGGGATACCCATAAAGATAGATAAACCTTGGGCTATTGAGAATCCATATTTTGCAAAACTATCCGCTACTTGATTTGCTTCACGGAAAATGTGGACACAACTTAAGTCACGAAAACCTCCTGCCATTTTGACAATAAGATTTACTAAAGAGTAACAATTATGCTCCCTTGGGCATCTTTCATTTAGAAATTTAACCACAACTTCAGAGTCCGATTCAATGAGAAGATCCAACCCTATACCTTTCTCCTTTATCAAACGCAACCCATGGTAAATAGCCCACAGTTCAGCTTGTAGTACTGAGCAAATCTCGATTTTTCCGGAATAGCCAAACACAAAAACTCCATTTTCATCACGAATCACACCACCACAGGCTGCAATTCTTGACTCTGCCACAACCCCATCACTATTGAGCTTAAGGAATCCATGAGGGGGACATGACCAACTTATAGTATGACACATCTCTCTCTGTATATGTGAGTTAAAACTGCTAGAAATCAGATTTTTGCTTAATTCTCTAACACGACCAGTCACTTCGCAAACTGCCTGATTAGGAGTTGTACTGGATTGACTAAACACAAGACTATTTCTAGCCTTCCATATTGCATCCAGGCCAATAGCAAAGGTGCACACCCATGCTTTATTTGTGCACGATAAATTAAACTTCAACCATTCTTGCAATGTGAGATCGTAAAATTCCTCAATGTGGCTAGTTGCATGTAGACGTTGCCAGATGACGTGGGTGAAGTCACAATCCCGAAGCAGGTGAATGCATGTCTCACAAGCTTTATAGCATATAGGGCAGCCATCATTGTTAGTTAACCCTCTCGCTAACCTCCAAGAGTTTGTACTGAGACTTTCATGAGATACCCTAAGTATCACACTCTTTCCGGCCCATTCCAATTCCAAATCAATTTATATAAATTATAATGAGGTGACGCAGTCCTGGCACGAATAGAGGCA